CACCTAGCTAATCCATTGCATCGTCACATATCTACGGCTGATCCATTGTTAAGGCTTTGCCCACTCCTATTAGATTTAGACTTGCTAGTACATGATTGTGCAATCGATTTTGCTAGCTAGGAGTAGGATTTGCCAGCGAGATGTACTGTCATTGTGTATGGTGTATGAAATGATGAAATTTTGCATTGTACTTCCTCCTTTCCGGTTTATAGGGCTCAATTCAAAAATCAAGGTAGATGATGAGTGGTGAAATAATTTTTGTAGTTTGCAAAACCACTCAATTGATGCATTTGTTTTCCTTAAACAATTATGTTTACCAATGCATTAATTGTAGTGCATGTATGCATAAAGCACATGCATTGGTCAATTTTCTTTTAATACTTGCATATAATGATTTAACGCACCTTATAAAACCAAATTAAGCCTTATAAAACGAAAAAACTAAAATTTTGAGATAAGTCTTATAAACTAAAAAAGAGGAGGTAAATTAATTAATTAATTAATGGCGGTCAAGGCAAGGCTTGGATGGCCCACACGTGTGTGTGCGTGTCATTGAGAGAAGGGCGTCTAAATTATTAGGCGATGCCGACGCGCACGCGTCACGCAAGGATGCAAATAGAATACATTAGGGCATGTTTGGTTCTAAATAAGTCACCAACTTACAAGTCGAAAAGTGAAAAAAGTGACTTATTTTGCCAAACAGACCCAACTTATAAGTCATCCCAACTTATAAGTTATAAGTTGCTCCACCACAACTTAAAACTTATAAGTCACCCCTTTTGCATGGGTCCCACCACCTTTACATAAAAAAAGAAGATGGAAATGTGTGGTCAGGTGACTTATAAGTCAGGAGACAACCAAACAGGCGTGATTTATAAGTTATTGGTTTTAAGTCACCGGACTTATAAGTCAGGTGACTTATTGAAACCAAACATGCTCTTATTATTGGAGTAGATTGTGTTCAATGCGTGTGCATGCATGTCTGCATGCTTAGAGCATCTACTAAGGCTACTTCAAGTGCATTGGTGCTTAGATGGGGTGCCAAGAGCATTAAATAGCTAAGCAACTGAAGTTCACAATGCATATGTGCTTAGTTTGTTGTTGCTAAGCTTTCTCCCATGCATAGGGCAAACTTCTTTCATTTAAGTGTTTTGTATAGGCCAGCACGCTTGGCATTGATTCTTTTTGGGGTCAACAAAATATTCTTTCTCTTCTTAACTACCATGGCACATCAGATTTTTTTACCGATGTGGCATGCTAAGCACCTGTACACCATGGAGCATTCGGAAGAGCCTAAGTCATTTCTAATCACATAACGTGTACTCCTACTGTACTACTTAGTTTCTATTTAAGACAGAACGTACATCGCCATTTTTTTTTGAAACGAAGGCAAAAGATTTGCCTCATATATTAAATGAGGAGGAGAAAGAGTTTGTTACAACACAGTGCCAAGAAACGGCATGGCAATTACTCTCGCAATAAGAAAGGCCCTATTTTTTTTCGCCCCGGCTTTAACCCAAAGGTTAGACTCTTCAATCACATTGTTTAGCAAAACATGCGGAGGGGCACTCTTGTGTCTAAACACCCTTGCATTACGCTCATTCCAGATCACCCATGAAACCAACATGGTTATCGAAGCCTTCGCTTTTCGGTTGGCGGTGCCCTCGGCGCTCAAACTCGCCTACCATTCCTTGATGGAGTCGTACAAGTGCGATGCGGACGTGTCCACGTCGTGGATGCAGAGCTTCTGAATCACCATGTTCCAGAGCCTGAGGGTGAAGCGGCATCTGAAGCACTGTTCAAGATATCTTCCGATATTCCGATAAATCGGCCGATTTATCCCTTACCGTTGTCTGACAGATAAGATAAATCAGCCGATAAATCAGCCGATATGAAGATAAATCGGCCGATATGCCAATAAACTGGCTGATTTACCCCTTATCATGGGTCGACCGATAAGTTCACGATAAGCGATATCCCCAACATTGATCTGAAGAATAGATGGGGACCGCATTCCTGCACCCCTCTGCACCAGGGACAAGGGCCACAGTTTGGCCAGCCTCGCCTCTGCAATCTGTCTGCAGTCCAGATCCTATCTTGAAGCGCAAGCCAAGCAAAGAACTTGACTTTCGGAGGGGCCCAAACCTTCCAAACCATTTGGTCCATGGGGGAGAGGACCAAGCCCAAAAACGGTGCCCTGTACGCGGAGGCCGCAGAGTAGTTCCCGGAAGTCGTGTGCTTCCAAAGGATGTCATCGTCGGCAAGCTCATCAAGGTGGACTTCTTGGGTGAAGAATTGTGAAACGGCTCAATGGAGGCCGGTGTAGGTGGCCTGATTTTGAGAATCCACATGCTCTCCTTGAGAGCCTCCCACACCTTCCAGCGGAAGCACCTTCCAGCGCTTCCGCGAGGAAGCCTCATAAATGAGCGGAGCGATGTCTCTGGGCTTGCGACCCAGAAGCCAAGGAGAGTCCCAAAAAGGTGTCCGCGCACCATTGCCAACCGTGATGGTGGTACATGCGTAGAAAAAATTTAGGTCATCCTCATCACACGGGTTCCCTCCTCCAACCCACGGCTTTGTGGGCTCCTTCCACTCATACCAAGGCCACCGCAGACGCAAGGCCCGCGCGAACTTGAAGGTGTTTAGGACCCCAAGCCCACCATGGTCAAGCGGCCTACTGATAGTGTCCCAATTGACCTTGCACTTTGCCCCAGCTGTCTTATCTGATCCCGACCAAAGGAATGCCCGCTCGAGATTGTTAATGTTTTGCAGGATGGTGGTTTGTATGACAAGCGGCGTGAAGAAGTAGATGACTTGGGAAGCAAGAACCGACTTGACGAGCGCCACGCGTCCAATGATGGTGATGTTTTGGCCCTCATATGTTGTCAATCTACTCGCCACTTTATCCACTACTAGTAAGCGTGCACGTGCAACGCACGTCTCCATTAACACATAATTTGTACCCATTTATATGCAACAAGGCCATACACACATAAATATATAGGAGTGGCCAAGTGTAAATCGACTAAAAATTTAAAATGGGCCAGTCAATTCTTTTCGGCCATCCGATGCAAAATGAACAACACGATCCCTTGTTCAACCCCGGGACTTTCTTCTACCTCCGACAATTCCTTCCGCCAGTCGTCCAATGGACCGCCAGCCACCACCGTCCGGCCCTCCCTGGAACCTCCTCCCACCGCCGTGCCGCTGCCGCCCTTGGCCTCTCCTGTTTTTTCTCCGGGAACCTTCACCATTGCTATGCTACTCCCCCACCCCTACCCTAAGATAGATGATGAGGTAGCTTGCCAGCAAGCTTCTTCCTCCCCTCCAGTGAGCTTCTTCCTCCTCTTCGCCTGTTTCTCCTTTCAACCAAAATCGACTAACCCGAATTTGAAAGTCAAGCAACTAACATGTAGCTATTGTGTAAATATATACCTCATGCACATCAGACAATGTTACCTGTTTAACGTTACAATAAATGTATGGAAGCAGAAATATCATTCAATTCATCTATTGATAAAAAAAATTGAATTGGACAACACCGGACACTATATGTGACTTGGCCAAAAGGGCTAAAAAAACAAGATAAGGTAAAAGAAAAAAGACACACCAGACGCCCCCTCTCAGTTCTCCTTGGTCCTTGCCTCGTCACCTACCTTCCCGACCCTTATCTCTTCACTGTCTCCCCACCACTCCCTATTCCATGGTGGCCACAAGCCCACAGCTCTCTCTCTCTCTCTCTCTCCTCAGACCGCCCCTCCTGTTTGTCCCCACCGCCAACGCGAGGTCCCGCACTCTTCCCACTCTTCTCAACCCCTCCTCCTCGAATCGGTCGCCGAAGTGCGCGAGGATCCGCTCGAGCTCGGCATGGTCGCTGGGCGCGGGACGAAGGCCGACGCGGAGGCGCGGGACTCGTCTCCACCAGATCGGCGACCGTGGCAGTCATGCGTCGCAACCTCCGCCCCTGGTTCCTTCCTCTCTATATCGCTCGTCGGCGGCTCCCACCACCCTGTGTGTGCGACAGCGCTGCGCCCTGCAATGCCCAGGCACGACAGCAGTACCCCGGTGTCTGGTCCCCTGCAAGTGCAAGCCGGCGCCGGTAGACGATCTATTCCCCTCTTCGGCTTTCATATATGCTTATTTCTGATTTGAGGTACTCCCCATTACCCACTTCTGTTAATCCCTAATTGCTATCCATTCCTGTATAGTACATATGTAGCTCAGTAGTCTAGGTTTAAGCATGAGAGTCATTTTAGAATAGGGAGAAAAAATAGAAGTTGGGGTGATTCTATTTTCGTACTGTCTAATCTTGGAGTAAGATGTTCGATTAGACGTTCTTAACTTCACTGCAACAACTGTTATGAGTGGGGATTCTAGTTAGTTAATATTCTTGAGCCAACCATGCTGCGATAAAGTTGATTGATTGGTGGATTTGAATTCTGGGTGGCTAGGGGCGCTAGGGACCAAGACGGATGAGGTAGATTTGGCTTGATCCCGCTAAAGAAATTTACTTCTGTTTTGAAAAAAGAAAGCATGTTTTTATAAGTTTTCAAATGCGAGCTTTATAGTAAATCAAAGAGGATCAAGAGAAGCATAGTAGGATAGTACAGTAGGATAAGTATGTATGAGTGTATGACTCTAGGATAATACAGGTTGACGAATGAATAATTGATAATGTAGGCTAATGATGATGCTATGGCTGTCATATAAAGGACGGTGGTTGGTTAAAAGAGCTTATCACCTCAAAAAATGCTTTTCTGTGAATAACTTCCTTTTTAGAAGTCCATAAACATCTCTGACATCTTCAGTACTACTTACAGCAGCTGCACAAGTGATATTCATGATATAGCACAACCGTTTAGATATATTTCTTGTTGTCCCGGACCCCCGGTTATAACATAAGTTATTTTGCAGGCTTAGACGAAATAGATATTGAAGACCATCTAAGAGTGAGGGAATTTGTTCCATCCTAAATTTTTGGGACTAGAATAAACACAAAGATGGGAATGGGAGGCATACCTGCCTGCCATATACATCAACCTGAAGCTTTCAAGTGTTGTACAGAACAAGTAATTGACAGGTTTACTTCATGATAGTCTTGGATTTGGTTTGGCCAAAATGATCAGGTACTTACTCACTTAATTCTGAATATACCAGTTATTTGTTGAATGTATCAGTTAGACAACGGTGATACATCAAAGTGTCTCATTAACTGAAACGACTTAATTTTGGAGGAGGACTACCCTGTTTCCAAATCCTAGCTCCGCCGTTGATTCTACCTGAATTTACTTTAGTAGATCTTCTCTTGTAAATTCAAATTTTTTCCGAGCCTATATGTTTGGTTTCATATTGTTGTTTATCATGCAATACTTATCCTGCAGCTGCACAAGTGATATTTACTCTCTTGGTAATGGAATATAACCTCATTTATGTACAGAAAAATGCATATTTTTGAACTGGGTTTTCTTATCCACACTCTTGGTCCAAGTTACAAATAGATCGTACTAACTGGGTTTTCTTATCCACTCTTGGAGCAAGTTACAAATAGATCATACTGACTGGGTCATATTCATTCAGTCATACAGATTTGAATACTATACTGTTAAAACAATATGATGGAGGTCTCCAGTTTGATGCACTGTTAAAATTCATGCTGAAGTCACAGGAGGTAGATCTATTATGGTCTGTACAAAGATGATGAGAGTGAAGAACATTGTTATAAAGTTGCAAATTTGACAGGGATTCGGGAAGGACAATGAATTACGCATATATATGTTAAATAGAATTTCCTGTAAAATCAGGAACTGATCGGCCCCATCACATTAACCCAATTGAATATCATGTAAAATCATACCATGTTCCATTGGTGCAGGCAGGTGCGTTGCCTGAGGAGTTCGTCGGTGCCGATGTCGTCGGTTGTGGAAGGCGGCGATGGCCAACAGTGGCTGGGCGGCGAAGGTGCAACAGTGGCTTGGCGGCGCCGACGTATGACTGTAGTGTGCGTCTGAACGGCGACATAGAAGAAAGTCTGAATGGCGACGTCGAAGAAAGACATCGAGATTAACTAGGATGGAACTGGCCACATATTGCGCACAAGAGGATAGTCTCCACCTGCGTTGGCGAGAAGCTCGTCGACGCGGGCGTCGTCTGCTGCGCACGGCGGCGATGGCGCAGGACAGGGCGGGCTGCTGCGACGTACGTCCGGGTGGGCAAAGGCAGGTAGATCAAGGTGATTTCCAGAAGTTTAGCCATTTGTTGTGAGGCAGGCCTGTTAATTCCCGTTAATTGTGGCTAATTTTCTGTAGTTGATTGGCTCGTATGTGTATATATGTTTTTGGACACGAACGCAATGGGTGGAAGTGTTTTTTTTGCGTGGGAGGTGGAACTAATCGATGGCAGAGTTTCGTCCGGTACTATAAATTGCTAAACGCACATAGGTGAGGGCTGACTTTTATGTGGACGGTTAGATGCCTGATCTTGGGGTGGTAATTTGTTTTGTTTGCCCTGTGTACATTTATCCGGGTGAGCATAGTGAAGAATATGTTTGCTTGTTTAATAGTAGTAGAGAAGTAGAGAAGAATTGAAGATCAGCAAGCTTCAGCCTCCAAATCGATAGCGGTAGCCCCAAATAACGCAGCGGAAAGGCAGCCCTAACAGCCGGCAGCCCATGGGTCCAAGTCAAGGTTGCCACATCTAATGGGCACCATTGAGCTTTTATGGAAATTAGTGCACAGACCTGTGACGTCCTCGAAAATCCCCTCAGAATGGCCGCCAGGTTGTCCACATCTTTTTTGATGGGCGCAACAAAAACAGTTGCATCGTCCGCGTAAAGAGAGGTACGCACGATGACCCCTCTCCCACGGATCTTGTGCAGAAGGCCTTTTTCTAGTTGCCGTGAGGATTTGCTTCAAAGGGTTGATGGCAATGACAAAAAGGAGAGGAGAGATGGGGTCCCCCTGCTGAAGCCCTTGGCCATGCTTGATGGGAGAGCCGGCTACCCCATTCAAGAGAACCCTCGAAGATCAGTAACAAAGGAGAGCCGCAATCCACTCCCGAAATTTGCTAGGGAAGCCACGCCTCCGAAGGAGGTCAAGCAAATACTCCCACTTGACGGAGTCAAAGGCCTTGCGAATATCCAGTTTGAACAGGAGAGAAGGGGTCTTACTCTTGTGCATGCGACGAGCAAGGTTCCTAACAGATATGAAGTTGTCATGGATACTCCGTGTTTTGATGAAGGCACTTTGGGCGTTGGAGACGAGGGCGGACATGTGCGGTCCAAGCCTACTAGAGAGCACTTTGGCGATGAGGTTGGCGACCGCATGAATGAGACTAATAGGCGTGAAGTCAACGATGCTCTCCGCCCCATCCTTCTTGGGAAGCAACACAATATTTGTAGAGTTGAGCCAGTGGAGGTTTGTTGTGTGTAGGGAGTCGAAGCGTTGGATCACCGCCATGAGGTCGAGCTTGACGATGGCCCAACACTTCTTGAAGAACAGGCCGGTGAAGCCATCCGGCCCCGGGGCCTTGTCGCTAGGCATGCTATTTATTGCCTCGAGGACCTTCTCCTCAGTGAAGGGCGAATCAAGCTCGTGCAGGTCATGCGACTCCAGATTAAGCTCCTCCCAATTGAAGTCCGTTGTACTTCCGCTTCCTCTTTTCATGACATGCGAGAAGTGGTCATGAATTATCTTCTCCTTGGCCTTGTGTTCGGTTACCCACCCTTGATCATTCATGATGCGGTGGATGTGGTTTTTTCTCCTCCGCGCGTTGACTCGACGGTGAAAGAACTTGGTGTTGGCATCTCCTTCTTTGATGTTAGCGATCCGGGCACACTGTTTTTTGCGTGCTTTCTCATGCATGGCCAAGCTTATCACCCTCTCTTAAGGCGAGCACGAAGGTCACGCTCCTCAGCGGAGAGAAGCCTGCTCTCCTGGGCAATGTCGAGGCGAAGGATAACCAATGGGGTGGCGTGAAGATGGACCTTAGCCTTGGAGAATAGGCCTCTACTCCACTCCGAGAGCCGCATGGCCGTCTTCTTTAGCTTGTGGAAAAGCAGAATGTAAGGGTCGGTGTGCTCAACTAGCTCTGCCCAGGCCTTTTGGACCACTTCGGTGAATCTGGGCATAGACGCCCAAAAATTCTCGAATCTAAAGGTCCTAGGCCTCCGCGGCCCCTTATCCTTGGCAAGCAGAAGGGGGCAATGGTCAGAGAGAGACAAAGATAGCGCATGGAGAACGTGATCATCAAAGGTTGTGTCCCACTCCGCATTGCAAAAAAAAGAGTCAAGCTTGCACAAGGTAGGATTTGACCTCTCATTGCTCCAGGTGAACCTCTTGTTCTGGAGATGGATTTCTTGTTTTCTTTAAACACGTCCATATTGTAGGAATTGTTTCCTTCATCACCCCATTAAAGTTTCAGCTTGCTTCTTCATTAGTGTTTTAGTTCGTTTCCTTCATTTCGTGGGTGGAAAATAAAATCGAACGGATGCGTGAACCCACCCGTGTCTGACAAACATTCAGCGGGAGGATGCAGTGCACGCACGCACCGCAATGCCAGCAGCAGCAGCAGAGAGCCGTCAGAGTCGCGATGGCAACACGGCCGGTCGGTCGGCCGAACGACGCCGGAAAGGAGCCGTCGGACTCGCGGCTCGACGACGGTCCGACAGTTACGTTCCGCCGGCCACGTAGGTGGCACGCCAAACAGGTCGCCAAGAGACGGTCTCATCGGCATCACATTCCTTCTTCTCTAGGCTCACAAAAAAACAATACTGTCGGTCAAACAGACAAGGCGCCACCGGACAGGAGCCGTCCAGTCGACAGCGGACCGACAGACATACCGTCGAGCACGTAGTACAAGGAACAATGATCAGGTCGCAAATTAAGGTACACTCGTTGATTAACACCAGAGAGATCATAAGCGCCAGCCCGTGTTGGCACTCGACAGTACTTACAAGGAAAGGCAGGTCTGCGACAAAACTCCCTACGATGAACAGACTGTATATATGATTTGGTGTGATGAAAAACAATTCAGTAGGTTGTCTGCAAATTGTTTTTTACAGTAATCAGTAGCGCACATCTCTTCTGCTTAGAGGGGTTCTGCGGCTCTGATGGTACTGTCATGATTTGGTTTGGTTTTATACATCTGCTGGTTTCGTGTAACTATGAAGAGTATCATTTATTGGGCGGGAGGATCACGTTAATTACCGCATCGTACCATTATTTGGAAGGAACAATCTCGTTCCTTATGAAAAGTGCCATCCAGCGTTAGACATAAGGACCATATTAACTATGAAGAGAATCATACTTTGGGATCTAGAGCTATTATTAAAGTTCATTGGAAGCACAAAACACCTAAAACATTTAAAAAAACATCGAGATTCGAAGGCCATCGAACGACCATTACCGCTACCAGAACGAGCCGTCGGTGTGCCATTGTCACCACTTCCCTACTGAAGTCGACTTGACCATGTTGATGATAGTTGGAAAGTCTGCGCGCATATGCCCTAATAAGGACCAGGGCCTTGGAGCCCCGTTGTCGCCGTTGAACCCCTTGAATACATCTGCAACACCTGACATCAAATCTCGACAAGAAACCTAACCTCGCCGCCTTAATGAGGCAACAAGAATCTATGCTAGACCTTTGTTGACTACGTCCAGACGGATGAACTCGAGAAGGATCGAAACCGCAACGACAAACTCGAAGAAGAAGTGTAGCCATCATCTGAGCACCGCACCTACGAGGACTAAAAAAACCCAACCTAAACTACTAACCGGCTCAACAACTTGTGGACATCATGACGAAAGCTTGCCAACGTCCACGTTCGAGGAGTTCCGGTTCAGTCTGTACATCACCAGCAACCAGGGGCGGTGCCAGCGTGGGGTCGTGTATGAGCGGCCGCCTCGGATAAATTTTGAGGACCAAGGGTATCCCACCTATTGCTTTGGCGTGGCCACCATGAGAGGTGAGCAGATTCGATTTGAGATGAGGTTGAGTGACGAGCTAGAGGAGAGGAAAGGAACGGTTCACTAGAAGAGATACACGATAGGGCACGATTCACTAGGAGATCGGCCAGTCAAGTAAGGCCCAATTAAAGATGAGATTAGCCCATTACTTTTTATCCGCGGCCTGGGTTTCATGTTTCCAATTGCAAGACACGGTGCTCCACTTCTGCCTTCCCGTGGCGGTGCCCAGGTCCGTCCAAGTACTGGATGGAGAAAGAGAATGAAGTCCGTTGTTTCTGGGGCCGTCGGCTCAAAACTACAATCGAGCAGCCAACATTGGCAACTTAGTGGTAAAAACATGTCTTATCTTTTGTTTGAACAAGTGTCATGTTGTGCTAAGATTTAAATTAATCTGCTTTTTTTACATGTTTAGTGTATTGCAATGGACTTGAAAATTAGACATTTTTCGATAAATAATGGAATATTGAATAAGCGGGAGTCCAAGTTAGACTTTATAAAAGAAATTGTGTTATATTTCTTTCTCTCGTTCTTGAGAATGAAACTATTTTGAATAAATAATTGTGTTGATCATGTTGCCTGAATGCACAGTTGTCAATTTAATTTTATTGATTGTCTTACTTGGTTATATGAGAGAATTCCTTATTTGATCCTTTCTTAAAATTCGCTTTTCTTTTTTGTCCAGAAAACTTTTTATTTTCTTTCTTGTCACATCAACTTCATTTTGTTCCTTATGTAACATTTTCATCCAACTTTCCATCCGGCTGTGTTAACTGTAAGGTACAAAGACAATATTACCCCTAATGATAATGTGTCAGCAAAAGAAAAAGGAAGATAAGGGGCGTGAACATGAATGAATGAAAGTGTTGTACGTTGGAGAGCTCACGTTCAAATATCCATATCCGCTACAGCCCAAACACAATCGGTGTTGCGTGATATCCATCCGCGAGACGGCGAGAGCCTGCCATGGTACTCGATGCGCTAACAAATAGAGTGCGCTGGATGTTTAGGGTTACCGAACGGATACCTGCATTGGCACTAGACACCCTTAATACAATTTTATTGCATCAAACCTTTCTCTACAATTGCAATCTTTTTTCAATGG